CAAATAACAATTAAGGCACATAATTCAAATAGCATGTAACAATTAATGCAGGAATTCAAGAATTTATATTTGCAAAGAATAAGAGAGAAACAATTATTGTAATAATTAATTTATGATTAAAAATAATTTATGATTTTTCAAGTAAGCAGGCAAACAATTAATTTGACGACATATAGACACTCGTCACCTCGCCTATACGTCGTTTACATGTAATTCGCATAACAAACAATTTAAGGGTTCTATTCCCTCAAGTCAAGGTTAATCCCGACACTTACCCCGCTTTGCAAATTTCAATCAATTATTCAACGATAGCTTTTTCTTTTAAATTTGCCTCCGAAAGTTTCAAATCTATTCACAAACAATTCAATATATTCAATATTAATCATAGGAATTAATTCCATATGAATTTATAAATTTTTCAGATAACAATCCGAAATTCATTAAAATATTCGGCAGTGGGACCCACGTCTCAAATCCCAAAAAAACTCACGAATCCGAACACCCGTTCCGATACGAGTTCAACCATATCAAATTTGTCCAATTCCGATATCAAATGGACATTCAAATCTTAATTTTTTATTTTTGAAAAGTTTTACAAAAATTTCAATTACTTCCATCTAAATCCGAAATAAATGATGAATATAGACATGGATTTGTGAAATACAATCACTATATGATAAAGAACACTTACCCAATCCGAAATCATGAAAAACTCCTTTGAAATCGCCCCTTAGCCGAGTTATAATTGAGGGTTTGTGAAAAATGAGAAAAATTCCGTTTTTGGTTCTGTTTTAAGTCACAGGGGTCAGGCCTTCTTCGCGTTCGCAAAGGGCCTATCGCGTTCGCGATGAGTAGCAGCCCGTGGCTTTCGCGTTCACGAGTCCTCCTTCGCGTTCGCGAAGGTTTTCCCCCTGGCCTTCGCGTTTGCGAGGCATAGCTCGCGTTCGCGCTGAAGGAATGATCGACCCTCCCCCAGGTGTGCCTAACACTACGCGTTCGCGAGGAGATGGTCGCGTTCGCGAAAGGTTATGCCCCCATCGCTTCGCGTTCGCGACCAAGCCTTCGCGTTCGCGAAGAAGAAAAATCCAGCTGCCCAGTTTACTCTTCGCGTTCGCGAGAGTGCCTTCGCGAACGCAAAGAAGAACATGCCAGAACACCTGCTGCAGCAAAATACCAGATTTTCAAAGTCCAAAACATCCCGTAGCCTATCCGAAACTTACCCGAGCCCTCGGGGCTCCAAACTAAACATGCACACAGGTTCTAAAACATCATACGAACTTGCTCGCTCGATCAAATCGCCAAAATAATACTTAGAACTACGAATCGGACACCAAATCAAAGGAAGTTTTCAAGAAAACTTTAAAACTTATATTTTTACAACCGGACGTCCGAATCACGTCAAATCAATTCCGATTTTTATCAAATTCGGCAGATAAGTCATAAATATTATAGTGGACCTATATCGGGCTCCGAAATCAAAATACGGACCCGAGGTCAATAAATCCAACATTAGTAATTTCTTAGAAATCATTAAGCTTTCAAGCTTTTAATTTTTCATCAAAATTTCATATCTCGAGCTAGGGACCTCGAAATTCGATTCCGGGCATACGCCCAAGTTTTAAATCCTGATACGGACCTACAGGAATTTTCAAAATACTGATCCGGATCCGTTTGCTCAAAATGTTGACCAAAGTCAACTTAGTTGAGTTTTAAAGCTCTATTTTCCATTTTAATCCATTTTTATATAAAAACTTTTCAGAAAATTGTATGGACTGCGCACGCAAGTCGAGTAATGATAAATGCTGATTTTTGAGGTCTTAGAACACAGAATTACTTATTAAATTTAAAGATGACATTTTAGGTTATCACAGGTGTACATGGGTCGGGTTGGTTCAGATTTTCTAATTACCAAACCAAACCAATTGTATCAGGTTATTAAATCTAAATACTAAACCAAACCAATAAAAGTCGGGTTTTTTAATCTCGATTTTCGGGTTTTTTCGATTTTTTTCTTCATAAAGTCTTCATAGCACAAAACGTAAAATTCGTGCTCCAAATATTTCTTTAATCCTAGTAAGACAGAACTATATAAGGTGTTTTTCAATAAAATAACATAAATATGAGATGAGTCATGACATTATACTAAAATATTCAACAACAAAGATAATAAAATCGCATAAAATAAATATTATTAATAAGCCATAATGAAAAAAAATATAATTTAAAATTATGACTAATACGTACTATCATTTACATGATTAACCACTAAAAGAAAAATAAGTTATACATTTTATCTAAACCATGAAAAAACTAAAAAAAAAATAGATATCCAACACTATTTTCATTCATAGTACAATTGAATTGAATGTCTTTTATTAGCATTAGTATTGATTTGATTTTGGTTTAGGATTTATTTGAGTTACTAACATTTATGGACTATAAAATTTATTGGGGCATCCAAAAATTATAAGCCCAAACTTGAAATAATACGTTAAAAGATAAAATTATGAAAAAACTTAAGAAATATTTATAAACTACACTACCATAAATTTTTTTATGTATTAAATATATTTAAAAATTCTATACATATAATGTCGGGTTGGTTTGGTTTTGATTTGATTTTTTTTAGTTAAAACCAAACCAAACCAAATATGGTCGGGTTTTTTTCCCAACACGAAACCAAATCAAACCAAACCATAGTCGGGTTTTTTTTCTCGGTTTGACTCGGATTATTGGGTTGGTACGATTTTATTTGTACACCCCTAAGTACTGGTAACAACTTCAACGATGAAGTTAAAATCCACCAAACATTTAGAGGTCATGGTCGTGGACAAAGAGGAGGAAGAGGACGCGACTACTATCAAGAAAATAATGGACAAAGGTATGAATCAAAAATTGAGTGTTATAATTGTCATAAATTTGGTCATTACTATTGGGAATGCCGTAGCAATGTTGAAGAGAAAGCAAACCTTGTTGACAACAAGAAAGGAGAAGATGAGTCAACGTTGTTGTTGGCACTCAAGGAAGAAGACAAGGATGATTGTCGTGGTATTTGGACAATGGAGCAAGCAATCATATGTGTAGATGCAAAGAGAAGTTTGTGGAGATCAATAAAACGGTGAGAGGTAATGTGTCCTTTGGAGATACCTCAAAGATTCAAATTAAAGGGATAGGTACAATTCTGATCACCTGTAAAAATGGTGGCCACAAGTTAATTCAAGATGTTTATTATGTGCCAAAATTAAAAAGTAATATTTGAGTTTGGGCCAACTTCTTGAAAAGGAATATGACATCCACATGAAAAATATGCATCTTTGGCTTAGAGATTCAAGTGAAATTCTAATTGCTAAAGTGAATACGACAAAGAATAGATTATTTTCTTTGAATCTTAAGACAATTGATGCAAAGTGTTTGAAGGCTAATGTGCAAGATGAATCATGGTGTTGGCACATGCGATTTGGGCACTTCAATTTTGGAGCACTCAAATCAATGGGAGAAAAGAACATGGTGCATGGGATACCGTCAATCAACCATCCCAATCAATTGTGTGAAGCTTGTCTTCTTAGAAAACATGCAAGGAGGAGTTTTTCAAAGGAGGCCATGTCAAGATCAACCAACCGCTCCAGCTTGTTCACGCTGATGTGTGTGGACCAATCAATCCACATGCCTTTGGTAAAAGTAAATACTTTCTCTTCATTGATGACTTTAATAGAAAGACTTGGGTTTATTTCATGAACCAAAAATCTGAAGCTTTTGCTGCTTTTAAAAATTTCACAGCACTTGTGGAGAAAGAAAGTGGCTATGAAATAAAAGCATTAAAGTCCGATAGAGGAGGCAAATTCACTTCAAAAGAATTTAATGACTTTTCTCAGTCTCATGGAATTCGTCGCCCTCTAACGGTACCTTATTCATCCCAACAAAATGGAGTTACAGAGAGAAAGAATCAAATGATCCTTCATATGGCTAGATGTATGTTGAAAGCTAAAAGTATGCCTAAGGAATTTTGGGCCGAAGCTGTTTCTTGTGCAGTTTATTTGAACAACAGGTCTCCAACAAGAAATGTTAGAGATCAAACCCCTCAAGAAAGCATGGAGTGAAAGAAAGCCAAGTGTTGAACACTTGAGAATCTTTGAGAGCATAGCCTATGCTCATGTGCCACACCAAAGGAGAGCAAAACTTGACGATCGAAGTGTGAAGCATGTGTTTGTTGGCTATGATACGAGTTCAAAATGCTACAAGTTATACAACCCAAGCAGCGGCAAAGTGGTGGTAAGTCGCGATGTTGAATTTGATGAAGAATTGGCATAAAATTGGGAAGCTCAGGAAGAAACTTCATACAATTTTCTTCCATACTTTGGTAATGAAGAAGAACCAGAGACCGTAGAACCTATGCAAGATACTACTCCACCTCCTTCTCCAACCAATGTTGCATCTCCTTCTCAAGAAAGTTCAAACGAACAACCGCAAAGGACGAGGAGCATTCAAGAGCTCTATGAGGACACATAAGAAGTTACTAATTTTGATTTTTTATATTGTCTCTTTGCTGATAGTGAACCAATGAACTTTGATGAAGTTGTTACGGTCAAAAGATGAAAACAAGCCATGCAGGAGGAGATCGAGTCAATAGAGAAGAACAACACTTGAGAGTTAACAACACTTCCCAATGGTCATCGAGCAATTGGACTTAAATGGATACATAAGGCAAAGAAGAATGTTAATGGAGATGAAAAGACACAAGGCAAGACTTGTGGCTAAAGGCTACAAGCAAAGGCAATGTGTTTCCAATAAGTAGAGCTCAAATATGTGAAGTCTCATAATCAAGTTAGCAGACAAATAACGGGCACCCTTTATGAGCTAGGGAGTTTGTGTTGGTGTGAAGTGTATCCATCAGAGATTCAATTTACAAACCAATTAATTATAGCAGCACATCTGATTGAAATAATAATTGGGAAAGCATTAACAAAGAGTTTCTGCTGGATGTTGAAAGCTCTTTGGACAGATAAACATGGCCTGCTTTTAGTTGCCAACAAGTCATTACTCAAATTGCATCATTTAGCTGGTCTTTTGGCTGACACAGATGAACTGACAGGAAACTGTATTGAATTCTAATACTGTATATTTTGACGGTTAGATACAAAACTGTGGCAGAATTTCCAGCAACCCCAAAATTGCCCTATGATTTAGATGAATTAATTTACAAGGAATGGATATTCCGAAAAAATGATGCAAAAGAATTATGACAGCGATGCGAGGGTGCCCCAATCTCATTCCCTGGACCTTGTAACAAAGACTGCTTTTCTACCACCATACAATGCGCTTCATTCTGAAAGCGTATAATGACAACTCCATCTTGCTTAGGCCATTCCACCAACTTTTGCAATAATCTATACTTGGCACAAAAAAACTTAATTGCGCTTCTCTCATTCGTCAACATCTTGGACCCATGCCAAATCTGCTATCAAAATTTCAACACAATCATATTTAACCAATAAAAGGCATGTCATTAACAAATCATCGAGTAAACCAAACAAGTGAAGAATAATGGATTTCACTGAATGAATCACACCAACTGAAAAGATGTCTCATGCTATGGCATTCTGAATTTACAAACTAAATCACAAGATGTGGCACCTGGGAAATCTAGCAACCATTTTGAGACCCACTTCATTTCTGTGTTCATATAGAACTCTCTTAAATTTTCTACCCTAGAGACAAACATGTACAAAAGATGGTCCCAACGAGACATTAATTTGATTTGCAATGCACTAAGATAAAATGACAGACTTATGATACTTTTCTTATTAAATGATAATTGACATGAGGGCTTGTCTAAAGGTGTTAAGAAATGGACCTTGGGCCTAACTCAACCCCAAAATAAGCTCATGAGATGAGAATTACCCAAAACCATATAAGGAGACAAACAACTCATCCCTCAACCAATATGGAACACTTAGCAACCCCCCCC